TTAATCTGTTACAAACAAAGCAAATAAGAACTCTGGCAAAAGCAAAACTTTTTTACGTAGGCGAGTAATAAAAAATAAAAAATATTGCGTTTCTAGGAAGGTTATTTGATATATTTAGCTGTGCAAAATTATTTCAAATCAAAGTTTCAATTTGCAACTTGCAACCTACATACATATGTAGATACATACATATTTGATGACGGCAAAATTAAGTTTGCTTCTAGGAAAACAAAAAAAATAAAAAATATTAAAAGAGCTGACTTATATTAGTTTTATTATTTTTGAATATTTATCTGCTGTGTAATATTAATATTTAAAAAAAAATAATAATTTTTGGCGCTAAAGTATTTGTGATAAATCTATCAAAAATTCCCATATAATATGTATGTATGTAGACATATGCATACATATACATATATGCAAGAAAAAACATGACGCCATATAAAGGTAGTTAAGTAAGAAATTGTCGCCCTTGTCATCTTAAGTGTATTTTTTCATATCATTGACACTAAAAAATTGCTTAAAAATTTAGTACACCTATTCAATTTTATGCATAAGCTTACAACTCATATTTTCATCTGAATACCCAAATCTGAACATAAAAAAAAAGCTGGCAACATTGTCAACGACCCATAACGCATAAAGCTAAAATAATTGAATTCATAAAAAATGCTGCTCCCATACATATTGTTATACATGTACATAAGTTATTGTTAGCTATTACAGGCAAAGTGTGTGCTATCATTGCTTTCGTTCAGTAAATAAGAGCTGGTTATATTTTATATCTGACACTGAACGTAAAATAATGCTGATTGATAAAATCTACTGATACCGGTCGGTGGATTAACGAACATTTTTAATACCCAAAATAATTAGCTGTAAATACATGCATGCATACATATATGTGTATAGTAAATATTTGTGTTTCTACTTTTTATTGGCTAAAAATACGTTAAATTTAAATAAAATGACTGATAAATTATTTACATGCTCTCTTTTTTGGACACTGAATATTTATTGCTGAGAATCCTTGCTATAAAACAACATTTAAGAGATGAAAAAATGCATTTGCACTGTGTAGTCAAATGTCTCCAGATATTGGTATATTCGTTACCGATTTTCAAACAAATGTACAGCGGTTTATCAGAGAATGATAAAGCACTTACAAAAATTTCCCAAAAAGACTTCAAACAATTTCAAAGAAATCCATAAATTCCAAAAAAAAACCAAACATAAAAAACTCCAAACAGTTTAAGGTGAATAATCTGGGAAAAATTACAAAAGTTCCTGAAAAATCCCAAAACACCTAGAAATAGGATAAGAATAATGCCAAAAAGTCCCGAAAAATCGCAAAGTCCTCAAAAAATCCCAAAGCGCACAAATTCTTTAAAAATCCATAAAGACTATCTAAGATTAAAAATGACGAATATTCCTGAAAAAATCCTCAAATACTCCCTATTAGTCTCGAAATGATCTAGTAAGTCCGGAAAAAGCTTCAAAAGCTACCAGCTGCTCTAAAAGTTCAAAAGGCACCTAAACAAGGATTCTGAAAAGTCTTCGCAAATCCTAACTTCAATAATAAATAATCAGAAAAAATAGCAAGAATGTCTCAAAAACTCCACAAGCTCCCAGCTGCTCTAAAGATTCAAAAAAGTACTCAAAGCAAAAAATTTTGAAAAGTTTTCGAAATGAAGTTTGGTAATGAATAATCAGAAAACATTCCAACAATTCCCCAAACACCCCAAAATTAAAAGAAAAAATAATAATCCTGAAAAGTTCCGAAAGAATTCGGAAAGTCCAGAGCAAACTCCAAAGCTCCCAAGTGCTTTGAAAGTCCAATAAACATCCAAATTAAAAAATTCCGGGAAGTTCCCGATAATAATGACAAGTTTATGACAAATAAAACCGAAAAAGTTAAG